CCCAATGCCAGCCTCATTCTACAACAGTGGCACCATATAGCATTTGTCCCTTTGTGACTGAGATACCTCACTCAGCATAATGTCCTTCAGGGTGCAAATTGGTTTTTAATGAAATCATTAATATATTTTGTTTTCAAACAATGGTGATGCCCAAAATATAACACCATTTGTCCTTTTCCAAAATTATAGTTCCTGTAATTCTGATTTCCATTAATTCTTCCATCTTTCCCTTTTCTGCCTTCAGAAATATTTGCCTTGGGCAAATATTGCTCTTTTGACCTTAAATAGTTGGTTTTTCTGAGAAGAGAGTGCCTCTTTAATGTTAGGGATCATTTTGTAGGCCTGCATCTTGTTTGGCTGAAAGTTGAGCTGTGAGGGTAAGTTTTGTTCTAGTTTCAAAGGGTGTCTGAGGGACACAGAGTCAAGTGTTCCATCTGTCTCCACTTGACTAGTAATACTGATCCCTTTATGTTTTTGTTTTGTTCCACATTTTCCCCCACTCTAGCCAAGAGCATCTACTGATCCCTTTTAGAGTGGTCAATGGTAGGGACAGGACAGGAGGGTTGTGGAAGTTGAGGTTTATGTGGTCCACAAGTTCTTTAGACTAAATGTTTCCATCCGTCTTTGCTTTTCTTCCTTTTTTTTTTTGTTCCCGATAAGGAGAGACCAACCAACATGTGCACCTTAAATGGCTGCATGCAAGCTTTTAGTACTCCAATTTCTACACACCAAAACAGGATACAGAACTTCGTCTTTGCAAACTATGTTATGTCAACTGACCTTCATGTCCTCCAACATTCCAAGGCCCCAGAGCCATCAGCTCACTCCCTGAGGGTATTTGGTTTAAGAAGAGAACATAGCATTACCCCTTGTTAGACCAGCTATATGCATTTGTATATCTGTATCATATACAAATATGAACTGGTGGCTTAGTGGCAACAAGTTGCACTACAATCCCGAAAGCATGTTGTTCAAATCCACCAGCTACTTAGCGGCGGAAGGATGGACAATCTTTTCCCCCGCAATTACCTGCCTCTGAAAAACATGCCACAGTCAACAATGAGTCGGTTCCAACTTGATGATACACAATAATATGAATACAGAAAGATCATTTGTTAAATCTAAGTATGTTCAATAGTTTAGTCGTTTCATCTATCCATCTTACTTGTCTGCCTGATGTCTGCTCCTGACTATATTTCTTCTGTACCTCTCTGTGTCTTCCCTCTCTTTACTGGTATTGTGCTGATCATTCCTTGCTGCATACTGACTTTCTTTTCATTCAATTTAATGTTGTTGCTGTTGTGTACCATCGAGTCAGAACCAACCCTCAGCTGATCCTCCAAGGGGTTTTCAGAAACAGTAAATT